CTGTGAAATTCACTGCTACAAGATGGCTGCTCGCTTAGATGGTTTTACAAAAGGATATCAATCCTTTGTTCCATTCAAGGGTTAAGTTTTTATTCCACTCAATGAGATGCATACCCTTGCCTACCACAACCCAGGTCACACTCACAGGATGGGTAAATGGCAGCCAAAACGGAGTTGTGTGTTAGCAGGAAGAGTCCACTATTACAAAGGACGGGGTGGGGGGGAGCAGCAGGGCAGAGGGTAATTTCTAAAGCTTTCTCTACCCTGCTTTTCTGGAGACAAGAGTATTGGGGCCTCTAAGACCCATGAATTTATTTCAGAGTGCACTTTTGCAGAGTTTAATAGACTTCTGTAGGTGCCCAAAGAAGTGAACTGTAATCTTTGGAAGCTGAAATAAATTTGTGTGTCTTGAAGGTGTCACAAGATTTTTGTTTGCTGAAACAGAGGAACACTGATCTCTTTGGAATTTACTTTTGCAAGCATGGCTATCCATGGACATGGCTGTAACCAGGCACCTTGGGGTGAAGAAAAGATGGCAGCTTCCTTGGGAAGTGGAAATAATTTTGGTTGCCCCTGCAGACCCTAACAGCAGTGTCTGCTGATCCATTTTTGAGTGCCTGCCTGCCTGTCGTGTGCATGTTGGCTTTCCTGGATGTGCCTGAAACTGGGGAGCCAGACCAGTCTGGCCAGTGTCCTCTGCCCATTGCCCCTGGGCTGCACCTCTTCTTGCTTCCCTGCCCAGCTGGGCTCTTATAGTCAGAGGAGTTGGAGGAGAGCCATTGTCTCTCTCCCCACCACCACCACCACCACCCGGGGCTATGCTAATCTGATCTGTTTCCTCTCTGGGACTCTTGAGATCTTTGCAGAACAAACATGGCTTCAGCTTTCTTTCCTCTCTTTCCCTTCTCCTGAAGGAAACCAGGGCAAGAAGGGGCAAGTGAACCAAATATTTAAATGAGACTGCTGGGATGCACAGGTGGATATGAGGAAGACCAAAGCAACTGTACTAGTGATGAGCAGCTGCTTCATCTAGTTAATAAAACATCTCTAAATATTGGGACAAAGCTGAATGCTATGAGACGGGAGGGGGCGGTTCTTACCCCATGATACTGAAACTTGCATCTATTCTCTCCCAGTAATTTCTTTGCCAGCTTAAAATTCACTTGGTACAATTCTGGCTCTTTCAATAAACCAGCAAAATACTCATGAGGGGAAATATAAACTACATGGGTTCCTTTAACATGGGCAGGATATTTGGCAACCCTGAACCACAAAGTCTGTTGTAGGTGTGTTGACCCCAGAGTTGCACAGAGCAGTTCAGAACACATTGCAGCCTTTGTTATAGCCTTGTTTGTCCTGTGCTGAATTTGTATAAGACCTGACCTCAGAGAGTTTGGGGAGCCACTATGTCCTGTGCATCTTGACTCAGCTATAACTGCAGTGGATTCAAGGGGTAAATAGATGGAGTCAGAAATGCTGGCAGAGAAAGAGGTGACCCTTCCTCATGGAGTCAGTTCACCCTAGTATGCTGGAGTTGCAAGGGAGGCCAGGAGTCACCTAGTCCAAATCCCCTGTTGTTGCAGGAAATCCATAGTGAAGAACTCTCTGAGATAACTATCTGAACTCCATTTCAAATCCTCGAGTGAAGAAGAGAGCAAGGCCTTCCTGGGGAGTTTTTTCCACTGCCCAACAGTGCTTACAGTCAGAAGGCTCTTCTTAACGTTTGCTTAGATTCCCCTTTCTTCTCATCGGTGCAAGTCCTCCTCCTACTGTGTTGCCCTTGGAATCTAGGCTCCCAGTCCTGTAGCCACTCTTCCTTAGAAACACCCCTTCCTTGGCGTTATGTAGCAGAGAGAAGTGCATCCGTAGTGGGGAGAGTTTGCCTTTGTTGGAGGTGGCTGAAAAGGCATGAAGATCCTGTCTCCCATCACGCAGCACTGAATGTGCAGTCCAGGTGGGTCATGATTTCCTACAGCTGAGAGGCTCACATGATCTTACAGGATAGCTCCAAACTAATTGGCCGGTTTGTGCTAATACTGGTTCTCCTTGATCAAGAACTGTGCACAACATTGCTCTGATGACAGCACGTGCTATGGCAGAACGGTAAACAAATGCCGTCTGTTATAACGTGTGACTTCTTCATTAAAATTTCAAAAAGGGAGGGAATACCTCCTTGTGGTTCCTTTGATAAATATGAAACAGCCAACAGATTTCTTTCTGGTTTGATGTGGTTCCATGAATTTACGACAGTGTCATGAACTGGATATGAAATGATGTGTTTAATGGGTTACCCATTTTCTTGAGCTGATCAAAGAAACCCTTTCCAGTCACCCCAGATTCAGAGGGGAAAGCCTTTCAGCAGGGAGAGAGCCCACTTAGCTGCCTGTGCCCCCACCCCACCCCACCCCCCGCTACTCCCAGGCAAGAGGAAAATCTCTGTGGTTTCCAAGCATTGTGTTAACATGTCATGCTGGTGTTCTTGGACTTCTTAAAAGTAATGTTATTGTAATACTGCCAGAGGAAATATTGGGTCAGAAAGATAAATTAAGAGCGAAATAAACCCATCCTGAATAGGATCTTGAATGTTCAATTTGTTTTTGTTTGCTTGCTTTTTTAAATCCAATGATAAAGAAACATGGAAAACATCTCAAAAAGCCAAAGTGGTTGTACAAGAAAAATTAGGGAAGACCTGAATTATTTTCAAAAGATGGAAATTCAAGGGAAAAACAATTGATTGAAGACAAAGAAAAATGAATAACTTAGATGCATAGTGCCAGGATCAAGAAACCTAAAACCTATAAAAAATAATCCTTGTAAGAATGCTATGGGTAACAAAAATGACTTCTTTGGAGTATCTTTGAAACAAAAGGATGTAGAAGGAAATAATTGGTCTCTCATTCAGAAAAGAAGGACAGAAAAGCACAGGTAGGTGAAAGGAAGGCAGAATCACTTCACTCCTGTTTTGTTTCTTTTATCCAAAGGGGAATATTCTGTGCCATCTGGCGTGAGCATCCCAAATGGTGCAGTTTGCACTTTGAAAAGGGCCTGGCCTTGGCCAGGAAATACAGAACTAGCCCAAGTGAATCTTCAGGTCTTGGTCAATCCCATCCTCTAGCTGCATTTAATAAACTCATTAGAGTATGCTTAAAACCTCTATTATTGGTGATAAATCCTGAGGAACAGGTGAGGTGCTGTGAAACTAGCTATAGACTCAGGAGGTCTCCCTTTCAGAAAGAGGAAACACAACACTAGGTTCTGCATTTAGGTCCCATACACACCCCTTGCACAGATGTGGGAGGAGAGACACTGGGTTTGGCAGCAGTGCATGTGAGCTGAATCGTGGAGTTTGGGTTAATCACAAGGCAAAAGTGAGTCAGAAGTGTGATGCCACTGTGAAAACGGCTAATGCAACTTTAGGCTGCATAGAGAGAGCCATACAATCTAAGTCACAAGAACTCCTCTCATTTTATTCCACACTATTCAGGGCATAGTGCAAAATGTTTTCAGTTCTAGGGAATCACACTTTAAGAATTAACAGAAACCAAATCTGAAGCAGGTAAAGAGAAAGGAAAATTTTCCCAACAAAGGGTAAAGGGTGTAAGCAAAAGAAGAGAACTAGAGAGGATGAACTATGTGAGAGGGGTCACTTGTTTTCTCCTGCTTGATCTCAGAAGGTGGGACTAGATCTAGAGAGTTTCCATTGCAGAAGGGCACATCTTGATTACTATTGGGAGAGATGTTGTGATGGCAAGAGCAGTGGGACAACAGAACCAGTGCCCTAGCGAGGTAGGGAGCCATGCCTTGCTGCACCTTCTGGCCAGCTGTGGCCAGCTATGAAGAAAGGTTGTAGCATCCCAGTTGTCTTCTTGCTCTAGGATTCATTCCTTGTAGCAACCCCTTTCCCCTTCCAGGTTGTCCAGGTGGGCAGGGAATGAACGGGGGGGAAAAACCCTGTGGAGGGGCTCATCATGAGACAAACTTTTCAATCTTACCATTTAGGTATTCTAGGTGCCCATTTCAGCTTCTCCTACCCACCCTCCCAGATCCCCTTTACAGGTTGGGACAGAGACTGAGAATGGAAGCAAGCAAGATACCTCCAGAAACCAAGGGTTTGGGGTCTAGTTAAATATTGCCCATGATGTGCCATCCAATCACTTCTGACTTAGGATGGCCCTAATACGGTTTTTAAGGCACACAAGATATTTGAGAAGTGCTTTAATCATTGTCACTGCCCCCCCCCCAAGTAGGTTATCATGGCCTATCAGGGTTTCCTGAGTCATAGTCCAACACTGTATTCACTATACTGAACTAGCTCCCTCAAAGATTACCAAATTGAGCCAGCAGCGATCTCCAGAAATTGCTGCTCTAGTCAACATTAGTATTTGCTGGAGCCAAGGATTGCCCTTCTCCCCTCTGTGAGCATGGAAGAAACGCAAAATTGCATCATACTGGAAGCCAACTTTTTCAGAGCAAAGTTGGGTATGCTGTCCTTTTAGTGTTTCTATTACTCAGAGCTCCTCTCTATTACCTATCTGAGTCAACAGCCAAGTCTGAGAGTTCCTTACGCTCTGGGAACTCATTTCAACAAGAGTCCCCAGAGCCTGGGGTCAGACCCTGCTTCTGTTTGTGAGCAGGATCCTCTCTTTGGCTGGGCAGGAACTGTGCCGCTCTGCTGAAAGGCAGGGTCTCCCTTTCTCACCCCACCCAACCCCATTCCTTCTGCTCTCTTGCAGTCAACAGGGTTCTGTGGAAGACAAAAGATCCAGTAGGAGTTGAAGCTGGGTCACTGGGTTCCATAAAGCCTTTAGGGTTAGGAAGAAAATAGTCCTACAGAGAGTGTCCCTGTCCTCCTCCAAGCTTGCCCATTTCATTTCGCCATTTCTGAAGCGCTTGGCAATTCCAAAGCTGAGAACCTGGGGTGGGGCAATTTTACTATCAAGGGAGGGCATCAAACTGCCCAGCATATATGCAGGGATTAATCCTGCCTCCTTGTATTTCAGGTAACCCTGTTACAGTGGGAATGAGCATCCACATTTCAAGCATTGATCAGATTTCAGAAGTCAACATGGTAAGTACTGGGAGGTTTTGTGCTGAAGTGCTGCCTGTGGCTCGGTGTTGTTGTGCTCTCTGAACTCCTCATGGTGCTGCTGACCCAAAACACCAGCTAGCGGAGAATCCCGATGGAAGAGGCAAGCCTTACCCCATAGCCTTCACTTACAGAGTCCAATATAAGTTCAACAACCTAGGAGGATAGGTGGGAGGCATTGTGCATGTGTGCGCCCTTGCATGGATGTGTACACACAGAGAGAGATGTATGCTTCCTACCTTGTTACTCTCCTCCTCCAGAGGCAGAGAAACACTGTGCTGCATGAGGGACCTCTGGGTGTGTCAGAAAGGCCTTTCTCAAACTGACCCCTGGGCCTGCGCTGTCCTGAGACCCAGCTGACCGACCACCAGTAGAGTTCCTTGTGAACAGTTCAGAACTGGACCCACTTCCCTTGCACCCTCCCTGATTTCCTTGGTACAGATTAAATTCTACAGAGCAGAGCAGAATGGAGCCCAAAGAATGCAATGGACAGAGGAGTTTTGGTCCCTTGGGGAGGCTGGGAGGTGACTGTCAAAGGTCAGCTGCAGGACCCATGTGGGCATTTGGCCAGGTCCCCACCCCACCCCCACCCCATGTTAACAGCTGAAGCTTGTGGGATGATGGCAATGCAGGACAAGAGGGGCAGCCCTGGAGTCCCTTGCACCCTCCCTGATTTCCTTGGTACAGATTAAATTCTACAGAGCAGAGCAGAATGGAGCCCAAAGAATGCAATGGACAGAGGAGTTTTGGTCCCTTGGGGAGGCTGGGAGGTGACTGTCAAGATTTTTCTGCTATGAAGTTTTAGACTGCTAGGGGACTAGAATTAATCCTCTTGGATTTATATGCTTGTGAGTGTATTGATCATCTTTTCTCAGTCTGGATATCTGTCCAAAGCTAGATAAAGCCCTCCATGTCCTTTTGTGATCTTTCTGTTTGGTGTTTATAATACAAAGGAGAGCTTGATGGTGAAGCAAAATCCTTCATGATCCTTGCAGGTTTCCCTTTGGTTCAGATCACATTGAGTTGATGAGGTCCGGATCCTGACATCTGCAGGGGGTTAGTTGTCTGAAAATGGACTCTAGCAAACAAGCTCTTTGACTGTTCTGCAGCACTTGCATCCCCTCTCCCTCTGGCACATGTGTCAAAGTGTATCCATGCAGAAGGAGGCTAGAAGGAGTAGGTTTTCACTCTTACACTTGGCCAGTGGGAAGGAGAACAGAGAGAGAGAGAGAGAGAGATGAATATGAGAATCTTACTTAGCAGGAAAAGGAAGCTCAGGGACTCTTGGGCAGTCAAAGCACTTTCTGGAACACAAGGCATTGATCTGATATTATTATTTCTCCACAAGTTCCCAAATTCCTGCGGGGCAGCCCTGAGTTGGGAACTACAGGAGAAAGGGCTTTGTAGTTGTGTTGCACATTATCATTTAAGGGATGGCAATGTTCTCCTAATGAGTAGTCTTTGAAAGTGTGTGGCCATCCTAAACACAGGAGGATCTGTCCCACTTCTTGGGGGGGGGGAGAGAGAGAGAGAGAGAGAGAGAGCATCATTTAGCCTAGAACTGGTAGGAAAGGAAAAAGCCAAAATATCCCAGGTAATAAGATACACACATACGGAGATATTTTTTCTGAAAGGGGCCATGCAGAAATACTGGCATCTTCAGATTCTGATCAGGATTGTGAGATTGGGGGTGGGGTAGGGGAATGGTTTGGGAAACTCTTTTGGGTGGGTGACTCTTGCCGCCAAGAGTGGGGTCCGCAGCTTGGAGATCCATTTGGACCCAATGCTCGCTATGGAAACTCTGGTGGTGTCAGTGGTCCATACCACTTTCTTTCATCTTCAGCGGATAGCCCAGCTGCGACCCTATCTCGATGTCAGGGTGCTCACTACCTTGGTGCATGTGCTTGTAATCTGAAGATTAGACCATTGTAATGCGCTCTATGTGGGGCTACCTTTGAGGCTGATGCGGAAGCTCCAAGTGGTGCAGAATGCGGCAGCCAGACTCCTTAGTGGAGTGAGAAAATACCATCATATCTCTCCCACTCTGGCCGCATTGCATTGGCTGCCCATTCGGTTCCGCATCGACTTCAAAGTGTTGATGCTTACATATAAAGCCCTAAATGGTTTAGGACCTCGATATTTGATGGAACGCCTACTCCCACCAAGGTCTACCTGTATCACTTGATCGAATCAGGAGGTGAGGCTGAGGGGCCTGACGCAGAGGGAGGCCTGAAAGGAAAAAACAAGAAATTGGGCCTTCTCGGCGGTGGCTCCTCACCTCTGGAACAACCTCCCTCCAGAGACTCGTGCGGCCTGGATAGCTTGGGGGCTTTTTTGGTATCTACCCAATTCCAAGCAAGATTTTTCTTTGAAACAACGGTCAATGAATAGAGGTCATGATGGTTGTTGTGGGTTTTTCGGGCTCTTTGGCCGTGTTCTGAAGGTTGTTCTTCCTAATGTTTCGCCAGTCTCTGTGGCCGTCAGCATCTTCACAGCACTCTGCAGGTCAGGTGAAATTTTTACAAAACTTCTGATTTTTTAATTTCAAGAAGCAAATTGGCATCTGTTGCTCCTGCTGTTAATATTGTTAACATTCTTTTTGTGTGAAAGCTTCAAGTGAGGGATTCTTCTCTGCTACAGAAATTAGATTTCTGGGCTCATGGACTCTTTCCAGTTTGTGCGTGGATGTCACAGAGTCAAGAGGTCCCCCGATGCCTCTCCTAGGCAGGCTGTCCTTCAGACTGGTGTTCCTGTTACTTCTTGGCCCTGTAAAAGCTAGCCGTGCTGTCCTTGCACCCTCTGCTATTATTTCTAATATGTTTATTCCCTTCTTTTTAAATATTTGAATAATTTACTGTTTTTGCTCTTAATATGTTTGTTTTGTTTGTTTGTTTGTTTGTTAAATGTATACCCCACCCATCTAGACTGAAGTCTACTCTGGGTGGCTAACAATAATAGATAGAATTAAAACAGTATAATAATTTTTTTATAAAAAAAACAACAGTAGTAATATAGTACAAGATGGGAAAAATGTTCAGGTGATAACAGGAGGGAAAGCCTGTCTAAAGAGCCAAGTCTTAAGTTTGCTCTTAAAAACACCCAGCGAGGGAGCCAGACAGATCTCTGGGGGCAGACTGTTCCAAAGGCGAAGGGTCACTGCCAAGAAGGCCTGGTTTCTTGTTCTTTCTCTCCGGGCCTCCCTCACCTTTAGGGAAACAGCCTCCAATGGCGAAGACCAGAAGAAAGATGAGCCAGAGCTGGGATGGGAGGGAGCTGGCAGGATCCATTTCTCAGGCATTTCACTCAGCCTGAGATGAGTTTCATGGCTTGGCTATTCTTTGGGAAGTGAGGCAAAATTGTTTGTGGGGAGAAGCCTGGACAAAGTTGGCTCTGGAGAGACACTCTGGGGAATCCAGAGGTTGAGGCCCATGGTTTGATCAAAGCCGGCAGCAAGGATCCAGGCAATATCTGTTAGCAAAACAAAGACTTTCAGGGACACACACACACACACACACACACACACACACACACACACACACACACACACACACACACACACACAC